TACGGATAGCTGTTTTCTTTTTGTATTTGGCTACGGTCGATGCAGCTGCAGAGGTGGAAATCAGAAGACACCGACGCTGCCGGACGTGCTGTCCGGCCGATGGTGCCGACACTCACTGAGGTTCCGGATTTTCTTCAAGTTCATGTTGTTTATGTTGAAGTTAATAGTCTCCTCCCGGTTCGCGCGAGACATGTTGCGGCAAGATGTGGTGACCAGGTTCAGTACCGACCAGAGAGTCTCAAGAATCTCCATGTCAATGAAGCCAATGCCCCAGACATAGAGACCCGAGAAGCGACCGAAGCATTCTCGGACATGGGCAAAGATATGCCACGCTCCAACGATTCCCGTTAGTTTAGTCAAGAAGTCCGGGAAAAAAAGATGTCCAAAGCGACGAAAGCGCTCCAACAGATGAACGCCGTACTGACACCAGATGTCGTACCCAATGATGAGGCGCGTCGATATGCGAGGGTCGAGGTTCAGTCGCATGGAGTTATTGAGGGCGTAATCAGCCTGCGCTTGACTGTACACACTGTCAGCTTATGCAGCTTGGCAGGGAAAATCACATACTTCTCTACAAAGTAGATGTCTACAGTTCCGCCCGGCACCATATTGCCGTGCCGAGCACAGCAGAGCAAAAGGATACCTCGGACGTCCTTGGAGGGGTCGGCTTTAGCAGAGCCGGCACCTGCGGCAGTATGTTGATGACAGAGCTCCCGATCTTGAGTCTGCAAGTGATCTTAGAGGCCGGCAACAGCTCAGATAATGCCATCCACTTACCAGCTCCTGTGGTAGATCTCGGTCCGTCATACTGGTGCCGGTCTTTTGCGCGAAGTCTTCGGGGTCCGGCAGGAATCCGGTGCCGGGAAAAATCTGGACGTTGTTTCCCGGGCGTTTTGACTTTGTATGCTCTGCTTTCATGTTGCCATCGATGGACCACGCGGTAAAGTATTGGTCTTTCACATGCTGGGGAAGAGAGTCGTAGTTGGCGGGGACGTTCCAAATGTAAGGACAGGCAATGCAGCGATACGCCATCTCGCCGGCTTCGGGCTGCCGCCGGTTCTCTGGATCTTGATGAGCGAACCCGAACTCTGTGTACTCTCGGAGTGCACGAAACTCTTGGTGCACGTGCGTTGTTATAGCGTACTTGTTCTGTTTGTGTGTCAACATTGGTGAGCCAGATGACTTGCGAATTAACATACCATAGTTGCAGCGGGATCCTCAGGAACCGTAAACCGACATATCTTTTTCCAGTACAACTCTACTGGTGTATGACACTCTACTTCCTCGACCAAAGCCTTTTCCAAGCTGCCAACATCATATGCCGTTGCGGGCGACTTCGTGCTGGCCGGGAAAAGGCCATGCATGAGCAGCTGTTCGTGCTCGGGAAGCGCACCGTCACACTTGCAGTAGTTGATCCCAAGTCCGTGGAGCCCGTTGTCGTGCACAAGGGTGAGGACCGGGAAGCCATGGAGGTCAACGCGAGGTATCGCAGCATGTGCTCTGGGAGTCGGCCGAGGCCCGGCACCGCCGGCAGCCCCGGCAGGCTCTGGCGTATCGTCGGCAGCATGGTGCTTGTCATCTGTTCCTCCTTCCTCCTCCTCCGGATC